TAGGCCACTTTTCTTTATGTTTCTTTTTAGGTTTCCATTAAGAATTGTCTGAATTCTGACATTTGGATTGTTTGATTATTCCATATGGAATTGTGTGTTAGGGTAAGACTTTGTAACTTAAGCACACAAAGAACCTTAGATTGCCACACTGACAGGTTCAAGATGAAGGGTAAAGTTTCAGAAAATATTGATTTGGTTTCTACTTATTTGAATCTTTACATCTACTCCTACAATCCCCATTATTAACTAACTTCAGAAGTGGTTTTGCCTACGAACCTGACAATGATCTCTCTGGTTATACATTTTCTAATTAGAAATATACATATGGACATACATTCTATGTATAATAATACATATATAGTATGTGTATCTATATTCTTATATATATAATAGACTATAATTATATAGTCTATATGTGTATAGATTTATATATACATCAACCAATTATGTACAGATAGAACATCGTTACTAAGATGTTAACTCTCCTTTTTCCTTCCTTCCTTCGTCCTTCCCTTCCACTTTTTAAAAAAATATTCTTGGTCAGGCACAGTGGCTCACGCCTGTAATCCCAGCACTTTGAGAGGTCGAGGCAGGCGGATCATGAGGTCAGGAGTTTGAGATCATCCTGGCTAACACAGTGAAACACTGTCTCTACTAAAAATACAAAAACTTAGCTGGGCGTGGCAGTGGGCGCCTGTAGTCCCAGCTACTAGGGAGGCTGAGGCAGGAGAATGGTGTGAACCCGGGAGGCGGAGCTTGCAGTGAGCCAAGATCATGCCACTGCACTCCAGCCTGGGTGACAGAGCAAGACTCTGTCTCAAAACAAAAAAAATTCTTTCATATCAGTAAGGGCAAAGGTATATTATTTCTGATGTCACAGTTGCTTTAGATAATTCTAAGCAGCTGATACAGATACCTTCTTTACCATGACATGGAACGAAGAATGGGAATTGATAATTGACAAGATTACAAATTCTCTGATTTTTTTAAATCAAAAAATGTAATAGCAATAGATATTCTGAATTGCAGCAGATAAGAGATCCTGCTGGTTACAATGGAGGATTAGTGTCACCATTCTGACTTTCTGGAGAGGTCCTGTCTCCTCAGGTATGTCCTGTCTGCCTGAGTCATCATGGGACAGAGAATGTCCTTGGGTTCTAGGGATCCTCTAGATCAAGGACTCTTAATCTGGTGCATCAGAAAGACCTTGAACTCCGTAAAGTTAATGCAAATATTATAGCCACTTTTTTGTGGTAAAATACTTATAACTTGAGATCTACCCTCTTAACAAAATTTTAACTATAAGCATAATGTACAGCAGATATTTAGAACTTTTTCATCTTGTACGACTGAAACTTTATACCCATTGAACAGCAACTCCCTACTTCCACCTTCCTCCAGCTTTTGCAACCACCATTCTACTTTTTGTTTCTATGAGTCTGACTACTTTAAAAACCTCATATAAATGAAATCACGCAGTACTGTCCTTCTGCGACTGGCTGATTTCACGTAGCATGATGTCCACTTTTGTGGAAAACAATATGGAGATTCTTCAAAAAATTAAAAAATAGAACTACCACCCAGCATTCCCATTTCTGGGTGTTTATCCAAAAGAACTGAAATCAGGATTTGGAAGAGATATTTGAACTCCCATGTTCACTGCAGCATTACTTACAATAGCCAAAAGGTGGAAACCACCTTAATGTTTATTGATTGATGACTGAATAAAGAAAATTTGGTACATGCATACAATGGAATATTATTCATCCATACAAAGAAGGAAATCCTGTCACATACTATCACATGAATTATAGCCATGCCTGAAGGGAAAACTTTTGGGAAAACTTAGCTTTCTATCACGTTCTGGAAGGAATCTGCCATACAAACAAAGTTAAACATCACTGCATTAAGGCATGCCTAACACACTGAACAAACTCAACGAAGTTAAACTTGACTGACTTTGTCATTCCATGTTTGGGCCTGCTCCCGATAATTAATGTGCTCATGACACTCTCCCTGCCCAGCTTTTAAAAGGTCTTTTTCTGTAGGTGCTTACTCCAGTCTGGTCTTGCTAGGTAGAGTTCCAGAAGGGACACTAACATCGTATCTCTTTTTTTTTTGAGACTGATTCTTGCTCTGTCGCCCAGGCTGGAGTGCAGTGGCATGATCTTGGCTCACTGCAAACTCCGCCTCCCGGGTTCAAGCGATTCTTCTGCCTCAGCCTCCCTAGTAGCTGGGACTACAGGCACCCGCCACCACGCCGAGATAATTTTATATTTTTTTAGTAGGGACAGGGTTTCACCATACGGGCCAGGCTGGTCTCGAACTTCTGACCTTGCAATCCCCCTGCCTTGGCCTCTCAAAGGGCTGGGATTACAGGCATGAGCCACTGCACCCGCCTACTAGCATCCTATCTTATGGAAACATACTTATTCTATTTTCTCAGAGCACTGCTCTTTGCTAGGGAGTAAATAAACTGAGCTGACGTGTCATGGTTTGTCTTTCTCAGATGTGAGTCTTTCTTCAGGGAATTTCAATGGTCTGAACAGATAAAAGCAAACAGTAGAGATTTGGGGCTCAAGAGCAAGTTAGAGTGGTAGATAAGATTATAACAGTGATGTTCTTCTCAACTCTTCTAAAGAAGTCATTGAACATGTGCCTTCTCTATACGCAAGACTGATCTACCTACTTAAAAAAGAAGAAAACAAATCCGTTGGACAATGCCACATAAGATTATTTTTTGCATCTTTAAGAAAGTCTTCTTAAAATTAATGTTTTTTTTTTGTTTTGGTAGGAAATGTAGCCATTAAGATAATTGCCTTTCTTAGTACCAAAGTCTCAATCGTTAAAGGTTAAGGGTTCTGTTGGTTTTTCTTCTCTATAAGATCTTGTGGTGGATTTCTGTTACATATGAACTGAAGAATAAATAAGAAATCTTGGATGAAAGTTTAATTTTTTTTCAAAACAGGACACTTCTCATGGTCCTAACTATTTTTGAAGCCATTCTCTATTAACATTATGACAGGGATTTGGTAGTGGGAAAAGATGTTCCAAATTTATTTGACACATAGCTCCCATCTGGCTTTTAGTAAGTTTTAGTTTATTTATTTATTTTTTTAAAGGTGTCTTGGTCCATTGTGCTGCTATAACAGACTACCTGAGACTTGGTAATTTAAAATGAACAGATATTTATCAGCTCAGAGTTCTGGAGGCTGGGAAGTACAATATAAGTACAATATCAAGATGCTGGCTATTTGCAAGGGTCTTTTTGCTACATCATCACATGGCAGAAGGGGAGAGGATAAGAGAGAGCAACAGGGGGCTGAACTTGCCCTTTTATAATGGCACCAATTCCACCCATGAGGGTGGAACTCTCCTGGCCTAATCACCTTTGAATGGTCCCACATCTTTAAAACTGTGATAATAGCAATTAAATTTCAACATTAGTTTTGGAGAGGCAAACATTGAAAGCACAGTGGAAAGGAGACCTTACCGTTTTATATAATCCTTAGTAAAACTTGTGTAATTCATGGAATGGAGACTGCTAATATATGGTTAGATTGGGAAATTAGATATTTCCTATAGATTTTAAGTATTGGATAAACTTAAGAATATTCTGTATAGAATTCTTTCTCTTTGTAATCTAAATCAGTTTTCTGATTTAGAAACTAAGGAGAAGCCTGTAGTCATTGGCTTAAAAATGGATTACAAATGAATTTGTAGAAACAGTGCTCCCATCCCAACTTCACTTCTATTTTACATCAGTCTTTTTTTTTTTTTTTTACATAACAGATGTGACATTTAAATATTTCTCTAATGTTATGGTGCATTGAACTTTGTCAAAGAGTCATATGGTTTATGCAAACACAAAGATAATCTTGGAACATTGACATATGTAAGCTTAATTTGAAAAGTCTGTGAAAATAGTGAAAAGCAGATGGAGAGTTGCCATGGAAATTACTAACACTTGGAAGAAAAATATTACTTTAGGGTCACTGTGATTTCTAAAGGAATGGTCAGACTTGCAAAATTTTTTTCCTACTCAATTGTCAGTAATAAAAACAGATATTGGCAGGTATATTTTTTTATTTACCTGTGATTTTATGATTTCATTGCATTCTGAATATATTACAAGTATGCATATTTTTACTGGTAAAGACTTTTTAGTAGTGGAAGAAAACCTAACTATGTACCACTACTTTAAATAAGAAATGTTCTTGTCAATTATTCTGAATGAAAGTACAAGTTGTGACTTATTAGTCTTTGTTCTCCTTATGTAGGTTTTTATCTTGATATAAGATAAAATTAGTATCAGAATTACATAGTCTTTAAAGGAAGATGACTAAAATTTGCTCTTATAGATTAATTGTACCAATTGTAAAAAATAGAGACAAGTCTAGATAGCTCAATAAAAGTAATTAAAAAACCTTTTAGGCCAGATTCTTTATTAGAAATTATAATTGGTAGACACTGCTCTTTACCATAGCTTAATCGTAGAGAAAGTTAAAAAATCGCAGTAGGAAGTCATTTGCACTGCTCATTTTGTACCAGCAATTATTTATCACCTGATTGTTTTATATATTCATTACCATGACCTTTGGAAAAGTCAATAACTAAATTCTACTACTTTCTCTTTTCTTCTGGGGCAATTTCAGTTGCTGTAGTTCTCATGGAATAGACTAATCAAAAGTGGGAAAGAATTAACGTTGGGGCCGGGGGTTTTGGAACATTGACATAACATTTGGTAAAATGTGAAGTTGAATTAATGCTGTTTTTGACGTTAAAAATGAAATATCAAGAATAAAGGGATAAATATCTATGATTCCAGCCTGTAGGAATTCATACAAACTTGGTTCTTTGCAAAACACTAAAATTACACAATAAGATTCAATGGGAATTTAAAATGAGGATGCTGGGATCAAACAATGCAGATCGATTAGCATTTAAGTTGTTTTTTCCTTTGTTCTTTCTTTCCTTTTCTTTTTTTTTTTTTTAAAAAGATTTGGATGGCAAATTGTCTTTCTGCAATTGTTTTATGGCTGCCATTGCAATTAAGAAATGGAAAATAAATTTCTGAAATCCAACAAAGTCTGATCTTATCAGCATCAGAACCATGTATGGAAGGAGAAAACAGAACTCACGCTTAAGAGGATGGCCAAATAGAAAGACCAGCCGAGTGGAAAAAGTCCTCCTAAGTGGAGCAGTTGAACCTTGGGAATGTATCAGCCTTAGAAAATTGCAGCTGGAGACATCTGTCATTTGTGAGTGTGAAATGGTTTAGTTGGCCTCATACCTGAGCTAGGGGTGCTTGAGATCCCGCATTTCTTTTAGGCAAAGAGAAATCGGTGTTTCTCTCTTGCGAAATGCTTTGGATGTTTGAGGAAAAATACATGTTTATTGAAGTATAACAAATATACAGAAAAGTATTCAGACCACAGGGCATAGTTTTATTGATTTCCACAAAGGAAATTACCAATACCTTGAAAAACAAATACACTATTATTAGAAGCCCAAAGTCCATTCTAGTATAACCATCCAGTCTTTACGGCCCCAAATGTAACCACCACCTTCACTTTTTTTTTTTTTTTAAGATGGAGTTTTGCTCTGCTGCCCGGGCTGGCATGCAATGATGTGATCTCGGCTCACTGCAACCTCCACCTCCAGGGTTCAAGCGATTCTCCTGCCTCAGCCTCCTGAGTAGCTGGGATTACAGGTGTGCGCCACCGTGCCTGGCTAACCTTGTATTTTTAGTAGAGACGGGTTTTCACCATGTTGGTCAGGCTGGTCTCAAACTCCTGACCTCAGATGATCCGCCCGCCTCAGCCTCCCAAAGTGCTGGGATTACAAGCGTAAGCCACCGTGCCCAGCCCACCTTGACTTCTAAACTGTGGAATAGTTTTGCCTGATTCTGGAATTTATATAAATGTAACCAAAGAGGATGTACTTTTTGGGTCTGTCTCTGTTAGCTGGATATTATGTTCGTAAGATTTATTCCTGGTGTTGCACGTAGCAAATCTGTGTCATCCTCGGTGCTCTATAGTACTAACTATTCTGTTGTATGAAAAGTCCACAATTTTTTCATTAATATTAACAGTGTTTCTATAAACATTCTTATATATGTTTTTTAGGGAAGATAGATACACATTTGTGTGTGTGTGTGTGTGTGTGTGTGTGTGTGTATACGTACCAAGGAGTGAAACTGCTGGAGCATATGGTAATCATCTCTAGTGGAAACTGCTGAATAATTTTTCCCAAGAAGTTTTAGTGAATTTCACTTGCTTTTCATCCTTGTCAACTCTTGGTACTGTCATTTTTATTTTTACCCTTAATGGGAGATGGTCATGGTTTCTCATTCTTGTTTCAACTGAAGAAGCTGAGTGCCTTTAGATATGTTTACGGACCCTTTGGATATCCTCTTTTGCAAAGTGTTATTCAAGTTTCTTGCCCAGTTTTTCTATTGGATTGTCTGTATATTTCTTATTGATTTTAGGAATTCTCTTGTATTCTGAATCGGAGTCTTTTGTCAGTAAGATGTATGGAAACATCTTCCACTTTGGGGCTTAATTTTTCACTTCTTAGTGATGTCTTTGATGAATAGACATTATTAATTTTAATGTAATATAATTGATCAATTTTTGTTTCTTTTATGGTTAGTCCCTTTTAAATTCTGTTTAATAAATCTTTTTAATAAATTTTATAATATTTTGTTTTATAAATTTTATTAAAATATTATTTTATAATTTATTCTAGAAGTCCTTTTTTTAAAAACAAATTTAATTGATATATAATAATTATACAGTCAGGTGTGGTGGTTCATGCCTGTAATCCCAGCACCTTGGGAGGCTGAGGCAGGCAGATTACTTGGGCCTAGGGGTTCAATATGGTGAAACCCCATCTCTACAAAAAATACAAAAATTAGCCAGGTGTGGTGGCATGTGCCTGTAGTCCTAGCTACTTGGGAGGCTGAGATGGGAGGATTGCTGGAGCCTGGGAGGTCAAGGCTGCAGTGAACCGAGATCGTACCATTGCACCACAGCCTGGGCAACAGAGCAAGACCTTGTCTCAACAAAAATAGTTACACAAATTTTTGGGGTACATGTGATATTTTGGTACATGTGATATTTTGATACATGTATACAATGTGTAACAATCAGGGTAATTGGGATATCCATCACTTCAAACATTTATCTTTTGTGTTGGGAATATTATAATTATCTTCTAGCTATTTTGAAATGTACAATAAATTATTCTTAATTGTAATTTCCCTACTGTACTATTGAATGTTAGAACTTATTCCTACTGTTTAACTGCACTTTTGTATCTATTAACTAACTTCTTTTCATGCCCCCTTCTCCCTTCCTTTCTCAGCCCCTGGTAACCAGCATTCTACCCTCTACCACCATGGGATCCACTGTTTTAGCTCCCACAGATGAATGAGAACATGTGACATTTGTCTTTCTGTGCCAAGAAGCTCCGTGGTTTTAGCTTTCACATATTGATAGATCTACAGTATATCTGGAACTGATATTTGCATATGATGTGAGGCAGAAGCTCAAGATCCACATTTTCACCTGTGTTTACCCAACTGATTCATATCCAGTTGACCCAGGAACACTGACTAAAAAGAATATCCTTTTCCTAACTAATCGTGTGTTACTTTTATCATACATCAAGTGGACTCTTTTCTTTTCCACTGACTAATATCTATCCTTTCACCAATTCTCTTAATTACTGCAGCAATATAATAAATCTTGATACCTGAAAGTGAAAGTCTGACTGTTCTTTGTATTATTATGCAAATATTTGAACCAGCTTGTTAAATTCATTAAAAATATATTTAGCTGGGATTTGGACTGGGATTGCATTGAATCTATAGATCAATTTGGGAGAAAATGGTATTTTTACAATATTGAGTCTTCTAATTGATGAATATAATATCTATCTCCCAATAATTTTTGTTATTTTTTATTTTATTTATTTTATTTTTTGGGGACAGGGTCTTGCACTGTCACCCAGGCTGGAGTACAGTGGCACAATCATCTCTCACTGGCAATCTTAACCTCCTGGGTTCAATCAATTCTCCTACCTCAGCCTTCCAAGTAGCTAGGACTACAAATGTGTGCCACTAGGCCCGGCTAATTTTTTTGTTTGTTTGTTTTGGAGAGATGGGGTTTCGCCATGTTGCCCAGGCTGTTCTCAAACCCCTGGGCTCTAGCAATCTGCTCACCTTGGCCTCCCAAAGTGCTGGGATTACAGGCACCAGCCACCATGCCCAGCCGACATTCTGTATTTTTTTGGAGTAGAGATGTTACACTTCACTCATTAGATTTATTTCTGAGTACTTGATGATTTATTCCAGGATAAATTACTTATTTATTCATTTTTGTGATAAGTGACTTGTATTTAGTAAAATTGTCATGAATGCGCTGTCAAGCTCCATATAGCAGTGTGGTTACCCAGTCAATTCTGTAATGCAGAAAAACTTGGAGTATGTCAGTCGTGTCTTTTCCCAACCTTCTGTTTTCACAACAGAAGCAGAAGAGGAGGGATTGTAGGGTAATCTTTTTTATTTTGAAATTTATTTTTCCATAGGTTATTGGGGTACAGGTTGTATTCGGTTACATGAATAAGTTCTTTAGTAGTGCTTTGTGAGATTTTGGTGCAGCCATCACCTGAGCAGTATACACCGTACCCTATTTGTAGTCTTTTATCTCTCGTCCCGCTCCCACCCTTCCCTTCAAGTTCCCAAAGTCCATAGTATGATTCTATGCCTTTGCATCCTCATAGCTTAGCTCCCACATATGAGTGAGAACATACGGTGTTTGATTTTCTATTCCTGAATTACTTCACTTAGAATAATAGTCTCCAGTCTCAACCAGGTCACTGCAAATGTAATAAAAGATGGCTTTTATTACACTGAGGTATGTCCCTTGTATGCCAATTTTGCTGAGAGTTTTAATCATAAAGGAATGCTGGATGTTGTCAAATGCTATTTCTGCATCTTTGAGACGATCATGTGATTTTTGTTTTTAATTCCGTTTATGTGGTGTATCACATTTATTGACTTGCATATGTTAAACCATCCCTGCATCTCTGGTATGAAACCCCCTTGATCATGGTGCATTATCTTTTCGATATGTTATTGAATTTAGTTAGCTAGTATTTTGTGAAGGATTTTAGCATCTATGTTAATCAGGGACATCAGTCTGTAGTTTTCTTTTTTGGTTATGTCCTTTCCTGGTTTTGGTATTAGGGTGATGCTGGCTTCATATAATGAAATAGGGAGAGTTCCCTCTTTCTCTATCTTGTGGAATAATGTCAAAAGGATTGGAACCAATTCTTCTTTGATTGTCTGGTAGAATTCTGCTGTGAATCCATCTGGTCCCGAACTTTTTTTTGTTGGTAATTTTTAAATTACCATTTCAATCTCGCTGCTTGTTATTGGTCTGTTCAGGGTATCTAATTCTTCCTGATTTAAGGTAGGAGGGTTGTATTTTTCTAGGAATTTATCCACCTGTTCCAGATTTTCTAGTTTATGTGGGTACAGGTGTTCATAGTAGCCTTGAATGATCTTTTGTATTTCTATGGTATCAGTTGTAATATCTCCTGTTTTGTTTCTTATTGAGGTTATTCAGATTTTCTCTCTTCTTTTCTTGGTTAATCTTGCTAATGGTCTATCAATTTTATTTATCTTTTCAAATAACCAGCTTTTTGCTTCATTTATCTTTTGTATTTTTTTGTTTGAATTTCATTTAATTTTGCTCTGATCTTTGTTATTTCCTTTCTTCTGCTGGGTTTGGATTTGGTTTGTTTTTGTTTCTCAAGTTCCTTGAGGTGCAACCTTAGAGTGTCAGTTTGTGTTCTTTCAGTCTTCTTGATGTAGGCCCTTAGGGCTATGAACTTTCCTTTTAGCACCGTCTTTGCTGTATCCCAGAAGTTTTGATAGGTTTTGTCATTGTCATTCAGTTTGAAGAATTTTTAAATTTCAATCTTGATTTTGTTTTTGACCCAATGATCATTCAGGATTAGGTTATTTAATTTTCATGCATTTGCATGGTTTTCCAGGTTCTTTTTAGAGTTGATTTTCAGTTTTATTTCACGGTGGTCTGAGAGAATGCTTGATATAATTTCAATTTTCTTAACTTTATTGAGGCTCATTTTGTGGCCTATCATATGGTCTATCTTGGAGAAAGTTCCATGTGCTGTTGAATAGAATGTGAATTCTGTAGTTGTTGAAAGAAATGTTCGTGTATACCTGTTAAGTGCATTCGTTCTAAGGTCTAGTTTAAATCCATTGTTTCTTTGTTGACTTTCTGTCCTGATGACCTGTCTAGTGCTGTCAGTGGTGTATTGAAGTCCCCCACTATTATTGTGTTGCTGTCTATCTCATTTCTTAGGTCTGTTAGTAATTGTTTAATAAATTTGGGAGCTCCAGTGTTAGGTGCATATATGTTTAGGATTGTGATATTTTCTTGTTGGACAAGGCCTTTTACTGTTATATAATGTCTCTTTTTAACCACTGATGTTTTAAAGTTTTTTTTTTTTTCTAATATAAGAATAGCTACCCCTGCTTGATTTTGGTGTCTATTTTCATGAAATGCCTTTTTCCATCCCTTTACTTTAAGTTTATGTGAGTCCTTATGTGTTAGGTGAGCCTCCTGCAGGCAGCAGATAGTTGGTTAGTGAGTTCTTATCCATTCTTCAGTTCTGTATCTTTTCAACGGAGTGTTTAGGCCATTTACATTCAATATTAGTATTGAGATGTTAGGTACTGTTGCATTCGTTTTACTATTTGTTGCCTGTGTACCTTGGTTTTTTCGTTTTTGCTTTTTAACTTCTATTTTTGTTTTATAGGTCCTGCATGATTTATGCTTTAAAAAGGTTCTGTTTTGATGTGTTTCCAGGATTTGTTTGAAGATTTAGAGTTCCTTTTAACAGTTCTTGTAGTGGTGGCTTGGTAGTGGCAAATTCTGTCAGCATTTGTTGGTCTGAAAATGACTGTATCTTTCCTTCGTATATGATGCTTAGTTTCACTGGATACAAAATTCTTGGCTGATAATTGTTTTGTTTGAGGAGGCTGAAGACAGGGCCTAAATCCCTTCTAGCTTGTAGAGTTTCTGCTGAGAAATCTGCTGTTAATCTGATAGGTTGTCTTTTATAGGTTACCTGGTATTTTTGTCTCACAGCTCTTAAGGTTCTTTCCTTCATCTTAACTTTAGATAACCTGATGACAATGTGCCTAGGCAATGATCTTTTTTTGATGAATTTCCCAGGTGTTCTTTATGCTTCTTGTATTTGGATGTCTAGGTCTCTAGCAAGGCTAGGGAATTTTTCCTCAATTATTCCCCAAAATATGTTTTCCAAACTTTTAGATTTCTTTTCTTCCTCAGGAACACCGTTTATTCTTAGGTTGGGTCATTTAACGTAATCTCAGACTTATTGGAGGCTTTGTTTATATTTTCTTATTATTTTTTGTCTTTGTAGGATTGGGTTAATTTGAAGACCTTGTCTTTGAGCTCTGAATTTCTTTCTTCTACTTGTTCAATTCTATAGCTGAGACTTTCCAGAGCATTTTGCATTTCTCTAAGTGTGTCCAATGTTTCCTGAAGTTTTGATAGTTTTTTGTTTTTGCTATTTCCTTGAATATTTTTCCCTTCACTTCTATCATTTTTTGGATTTCCGTGCATTGGGCTTCGCCTTTCTCTGGTGCCTCCCTGATTAGCTTAATAACTAACCTCCTAAATTCTTTATCAGGTGAGTTAGGGATTTCTTCTTGGTTTGGATCCATTGCTGGTGAGCTAGTGTGATTTTTTTGGAGGGTTTTGAAGAGCCTTGTTTTGTCATATTACTAGAGTTGATTTTCTGGTTCCTTCTCATTTGGGTAGGCTCTGTCAGAGGGAAGGTCTAGGCTGAAGACTGTTGTTCAGATTCTTTTGTCCCATGGGGTGTTCCCTTGATGTAGTACTCTCCCCCTTTCCTGTGTATATGGCTTCCTGTGAGCTGAGCTGCAGTGATTATTATCTGTCTTCTGGGTCTAGCCACCCAGCAAGTCTACCTGGCTCCAGGCTGGTACTGGGGGTTGTCTGCACAGAGTCATGTGATGTGAACCATCTATGGGTCTCTCAGCTGTGGATACCAGCACCTGTTCTGGTGGAGGTGGGTGGGGAGGAGGGGGGTGGGGAGGATGAAATTGACTCTATGATTCTTTGTGCTGGTTGGCCTCCTGCCAAGAGGTGGCACTTTCCAGAGAGCATCAGCTGTGGTAGTATGGAGAGGAACTGGAGGTAAGGGGGGCCCCAGAACTCCCAGGAGTGTATGCCCTTTGTCTTCAGCTACCAGGGTGGGTAGGGAAGGCCCATCAGGTGGGGGCAGGGCTAGGCGTGTTTGAGCTCAGGCTCTCCCTGGGCGGGTTTTGCTGTAACTGCTGTGGGGAATGGGCGTGAGGTTCTCCAGGTCAATAGACTTGTGTATCTAGGAGGATTATGGCTGCTTCTGCTGAGGTCATGCAGGTTGTCAAGGAAGTGGGGGAAAGCCAGCAGTCACAGGTTTCACCCAGCTCCGGCGCAATCTGACCGGCTGCTCTCAATCCCACCCTGCACCCTAACAGCCCCAAGTCTGTTTCCAGGCAGTGGGAGAGCAGGGCTTAAGAACTTTCCCCAGGCTACTCGCCTCCCAGCTGTGAAAGAAAAAGGTTTTGGTTCTCCCCCACCTGTGGAGTATGCACACCGGATTTGCATCATCCCCTAAGTGCTGACCAGGAGGCTTCTCGC